TTTGTTGCTACCTTTTTTGTTGTCAACTAGTAATATTGTGAAGAACAATATTACATCCCGAATAAATCTATATCGCTAAAAACGAAGTCAGCAGATTAGCTTTCCCGACAGCATACTATTGAAGACAGAGTTGCGCTGGGCTGGACAAGTCTCCAGGATGGAGGACCACCACTTTCCTAAGATTGTGCTCTGTGGCGAATTGGCTACCGGCTTCCGCGAAAGAAGGGCTCCAAAGAGAAGATACAAGGGGGCTCTGAAACAATGCCTCAGCCTTGATCATATAGACTACCACTGATTCACTCCGGCTTCGAATAGGGAAATATTGGAAACATAACATCTATAACGCTGCTGTTTCCTTTGAGGAACACACGCAGAACCAGTCTCGAGAAAAAGTGATAAACGCAAAAAAAAATCGCCTCCAGTAAGCGTGGGTATAGGCTCTTCACACAGCATGCGTGGGTATAGCCCTTCATATATCTTCGTTCGCGAAGCCTAGCCACAACGACGACATGCTGAATAATATTTCTACCCTTTATGTCCACCATATTCTACAATGTTTAAAAATTGTACATGTCCTATTTTCGATTATCGCCGCCTTCAAGCGGTTGAAGGAAAATTCCTAAACTGCATAAGGCTCAAGTTCATGCATCCAAAAGCAATGCGTAATATCCATCGAAACACAATAATAGATTGCGAACAATACATGTGAAGCGTAACGCATGCAGAATTGGTCCCATCTCTTACTCTTAAGGTTCATCCGCCAAGGCTTAGCGAGCTTGGACGATGGCAGCAAAGTCTTCAGGACGTAGGTTCAGTTAGACTATTTTCTGAGATGGATGGCCTTATGGGCTCAATGAGCTCCATTTGCCGGGGTAGGAGATCAAAGTTGTCCTTCGCCTAGGATGGTTGTCCGAAGACTAGCGAACCCATCCTGTCCGTGAACACACTTTGCCTTAGAAAAACCAATCGGTTATCTTGATTTTATCACGAATACGATGTAGTTTATAGAAGATTTACTGAGAGGAAACGCATTTATGTTTAAAAAAAAAAAATTACTCTAGAAAAAGACTGACATCTGGCTATTAAACTATGATAGACTTTTCCTAAACAAATATTGCAAATCAAATCAAAATTCTCTTTCCGTGGAGAGATCATAACAAACAAAATTATTTGACCCCATAATACAATCGATTTGCGAATATTATTTGCTTATCGTTAAGAAGTATTCAGCAATGTTTTTGTAGAAAATGGTCAAAAATTTTGAACTATCCAGTAGTGTGACAGGATTTCTTGGTTATTCGCTTGATATCCTAACCTGAATATTTTTGTTGCAGAGTCATTTCATAATATTCCTTTTACTTAGAGTCTTTATTCCATCATTTATAACTTTTTTTTTTTTATCTCTCATCGGTCAAATGACGTATTACCAGTGGTTTTGTGGATTAGCTTTTGGATTCAATTTCAAGAGAGAATAGTTCTCCATTATCAACGATGTTGTTTGGATAGACTGCGATAAGTAGCCACAAACGATACTGTGCTGTATTCCATAGTTGTTAGATATATTTCAATGTCCCAGTCTGCTGAATATAAGATGGAATTTGAAGAATTCGAAGGGTGTTTGAATGAATATTTTTTGATCCTTTACTTCCTAGGGTGTCGCATTGTTCAGCCATGCGGTCATTTGCTGAGACCAACATCCGACATTACGTTTTACTCGATGGTTGCAACTGGTAAGGACCTGATGTGATTGGCTATGGGCTGATGACGTTGTCTAATGCGAAAATGAGACATTTTGCGTCGCTAGGCTAATCATGAGAATTGTTATGCCTTTTTGATGAGATGTTGTTCACGTTCTCCTAACCTTCTTGATAGGCCATTTTTACTGTCTCGAAAATCGCACTACCAAAAGATATACTTTTCATTAACGTATCACCTTATTGAAATTATCGTAATAAATTTTTCAACAACGAACAAGAAATGCAACGGATTCTTACGTGGAATTGTCTTTTCTAGTCGTGGAAAGAGACCAGGCATGCTTGCTCTCCCGACTTTTCATAGCGCTTTCTGTCCAAAATGTAATAAATTCGGACGGTCCAAAACCTCACACCTCATAGAATGCACTTTAAAAAAACGAAACATAAATTCGGTGCACTCGATTTCCGACATTGGTGTTGGACAGAATGGTTACAATATTTTGGAATGGGATATTTCGGTTGCCTTTCAGGACTTATGGCTTATTTCGAGCGATGTGATAATACTTGCAAGCTCTTCAGGGAAATTGAGACACCAAGGTTTCGATTAAAACTATCGGGAAGCCATGCCTATAGTTGCTAGGGGAAAGGTGAGTACGAATAAAGTTGATTGTCTTTCTCTCTGAAAAACCATTTGCAAATCGATTTTATCTAACGATAACTAAGCAGATTTTTATTTCAAGCTGTATCTTTACTGTTGACCAGTGTTTTTTGCTATGTTCTTAGATGACCTTTCAAACCACACTCGTGAATGTTACTCCATTCGTATTTACAATGGTGTCGATTTTCAAAAGAAATCGTTTGTTGCTGTCTTGCTCCTTTTAACTTTTTTAATCTCTACCATTGTCAACAGTACAGAATGCGTTTGAGCAACCGGCAAATTGCTTTCGGAATGCTCGCATTGAACTTATTAATCTAATTGTACTTTTTTCCACACTTCACTTGCACTACCTGAAACTCTGTTCTAATTGCACCTTTTTCATTACTGTTATATAGGAAGTATATTGATAGTTCTTTAGTAAAATTTTAATATTTTAAAGAATCTCTAGTAATCGTTCTAGTGAAATAAAAGTTAATAAATATCGCGAAGGAAATGTAGGATGAATTTATGAGCTCTACAAACAGTTCATTTATATTCACGAAGAGTTTTTTGTAGTTATTTCTCATGTGTCACATTATATGTCGCATTATTTGATTTTTTTTCCCCATGTTACATTATCTGATTTTTTTTTTTTTTTTTAGGAGATGAGTTTTACGATTGCTGATAATAGCGGCGAATATTTCAATGTAGAAGAAAATTGTGCAAATGATCATGACTTTATTTCAAGAATCAAGAACCAACTAGAAGTAATATTTCTTCCGTATTTCTATGTTTTTGTTATGGGCTATCGAGTTTGTTAAATCAGTGCATCTCCTGGTACTGAACCTACTGCTTCTCCAGCACAGTTTTGTACTAGTATCCGATGGTTTCTACCTTCCAGTCTTCTCCAGTTAATAAGTGCGATTGCCTTGCTGTTGATTTTTTAGCCCATGAAAGCATGTGTCACCTCACTTTTATACTGCGGGTTGCCATTTCCCAGCTGATGAATAGCAGGTTGAATTTTTGATTGATTTTAGCTTGATTCTGCGTATCTTGCTAATATTTTTGATATAAATAATGCGTTTACATTGCAAATTTCTACTTGTAGTTATTACTTACAGAAACACATCTGCATTCATCAATGTTATAAGTTGTTATAAGACGTCGAGAGACGATTTCACGTCTGTATTTCCAACTTTGAAGATTTTAATTTCCCACATATGCAATTACCACATTAAACACCCAATAGCATTAGACCGGCCAGTATAATTTATTGATTAGTGAATTAAAAAATTTTTTTATGGAATTATGAGTCGTTATGGTGCATTGCTGAGGATACAATCACAAATATGTTTACTGCTTTTCTTTCGTAAAGAGTTTTGTTGCACCAATTTTCTCAGTGTTCCACGGACTTTTCGTTTATTAGATTTATTTGTTGCACTTTAAATTTTGTGAGGATTTGGTAATATGCTATTTCATACTGTCAGAGAAAAGTATTGAAAACTTTTCAGTTTGATTTTCTCCTGCATTTATTCATTTTTTACTTCTTTCAAGAGGATCGGGAAACACTCATTCAGATAAATGTTTTCGCAATACATTATCTCTTCAGTTAGTTTTATGTTGTCATCTATGAATCACTACTAGAAAAGATCTGGTTTTACCTTTGCCTTGGTTGTCTTGCTTTTTTGTTGTCTAATTTCTCTTTCTTCGACTGTCCTGCTTGTCATATTTTTGTGTGGAATTTGATGTGACGTGTTATTATGCTGAACAACAAATAGGTGTGTTACAAACTGGATTTGTTTAGAAAATACTAGCAAAATGTCTCTTTCTGTAGAACTAGGAAATCCTTATTGATTGTACCTGCTTGCTCGGTTTCAGCACATTTTGTCAATAAATTGTTGGTTGGTGAAGCAAATAAAACCTTCCTCCAAGTGCATGTTTTGAACAGTTGTGACCAAATCGCATGTTTTCAACACAAATGATCTTGCTTCTATTACCTCCTTAATTTCTTCAAGAAGTGCACTTGTCTTCGGTCATTTGATTAGTTTACACATCTTACATGTATTTTTGTGCTGTACTGTTTGAAATTCCTTTCCTTGTGCTTTAGTAAATGGTTCCGTAGTATTGATCCGTCCTTTTTTGACTGTGCCAATCTTTAATGGCCAAGATTCCTCTCTTATGGGTTCTTGCTTATCAGTTGTGAATTGACTATATATTTTCGAGTCTTTACTAGAATTTCGAAAGTTAACTTTATAACTGTGTATTCTCGATTTCAGTCAACTTTTTGAAAATCGATCTAGTTGGAGTTTTGAAGAATGTTTGACAGAGCTGGAGTTCTTTCATTTTGCGTTCGCTGGGATATGTTAGTTGCGTATTTACATCATGAGTTTTAACTGTAACTAACTGCGAAAAACACTAAAAATCCACTTGAACTGGATGAAGGAACTGGGGGTAGTAACTTGCCCTGCGAAGGAAAAATGTTTAGGGAAATAGCTTTTTAGTTAGTGTTTCTTTTCATGAAACAGTACGGTATGAAATTAAGTGGTGCTTTTTGATTGCGCTGCTAAAATGTTCCCTTTTTTTTGCAGTTATATCGTTGGTTTCTTTCATCTCTGCTGTTAGGAAAGCTTATGAAATGCAAAGGTTTGTTTTATTTCATCATAACATAAGATCTAGTGGATCGTATCGTAAGCTTCCTGTGGTGAAGTATAATTTGGTTTAATTCATTGCTGCTTTAAACTCTGAGGCACGTTGAAGTTATTATATCGTAGTTTGCCAGTCAAATTATTTCCCAGTTATATAAGAAAATACGCTGCTATTAAATAAGTCTGAACATGCTAGTACAAGTACATGGTGTCCCAGTGATTTCATAGGGTTTTTGATGATCTGATAACTTTATTTTATCAGAAACCGAACTTGTGTCGCAAAACTTGTGTTTATTCTTTTCGACAAGGAGAGATGCTTGAAATCAGTTTGTAATTAAGATGTTTATTTTACAACTTGTCCTTATGTTAATGCGTCACCTCTGTAGTTCATGAATTTCAGACATTTGGTATCTCTAAATGCTTGGGTTATGCTGCTGTTGATGCGGCTTGCTTATGCAGAACATAAGTGTGTTTGGGTACATGGCACCGTACGTTGCCATAAGGATCCTTCGAAAAATTTGAATGTTGAAATACGAGTTTATGATCGAGATGGGCTATCAATTGCCAAGATTATTGATCCTGATGATTTAATGGGGTTAGTTGACAAATTCTGGCCACCTTTGCTTTGGAGCTGAGAATTCCCCTAATATGTCCGTTCAAAGCACCATCGATACAGGTATATATGGTAAGAATCACTTGGAAAAGCATGTATTAATCAACAACGTATCATTTATATTCTAAAATCTTCGGCTTATTTTGCTTGGTCGACTGGTCTTGCTAGCCTTTATTGTAATTTTGAACCTACCGGTGTGCTTTTTTATAATCATCGACGCTTTAAACTACTTCAAAACTTGGACTTCGTTTCGTAGCATTTAAGGGATGAAAATGAAAGGAACGATGAATTGATTAGAAAATATTGAGAACAAGTCAAATTGTGAGGATTTTGCAATAGAGACGAGCAAATTTGTGCAATAGGTCATGTAAGCAAGGTTTCACAGAGCGTCGTCGACTTGTTTGCAGTTTTGGCTAATGCAAATCAGGTGAAGTAAAGCAATCTGCGCGTTTCACTAGGAAGGACGCGGTGCTGTTCATTATCGACACGCAAATTACATGGGGATTGAACTAGTAGTAATTGGCGTATCGAGTCCCTCTGAGGTCTCCTTTCATTTATCTGAATAACTCCTGTTGCTCTTGTTTTGATTTCCCAAGCCTTATTTACACTTTTATTTGAGTTACTAATCATATTCGATTTTTCTTGTGTAGAGAAACGTCGCTGCTATCTGCAAATTTCATATTATAATAACGTACAAGAATCGGTATTTCAAGTTTCTCTCTGCTTCTCTCTTTCAATTTCAGAATTTTCAATTTTCGGGATATTTGTACATGGAATTCACGTGTTTAACACTGAAAAAAATTAGTCGTTACTTTTATTCCTTTTATTTATGTTTGGAAAAAAAAGTGAGTTGGTTTTGTTTGTGAAGAAGTTTCATCACTAATTCTTGGTAATTTTTACTGGTTTTCAGCTTTGTTCCCTTGCAAAAATAGGAATGATATCTCAATCCCAAAATTTTTATTACTAGATTTCGTAAAGAGTCTCGTTACAGTAAAAATAGTGTCTTTGGTTTTTGTTTAAATCATTTTCATTATCGCCTAATTGCGTGTTCTTGCTTTTGCAAACGCTATTGATTATTTTTATAAATCCTTACAATGCATTTTTGGCTTTACTTTCATAGCACTCCGTCATCTCGTTCTATAAGTAAGTCATGAGCTCTAAACCTTTGCTGTGTTACAATGAATGTCATTTCTAGCAGAATTGATACGAATGCTAAAATGTTATCAGCCACTTTTAACATTTCTTATGCAGCTCCCACTTTTGTGGAGGGGTTCATTTTATTAGCTCTCACATGTAAAGATCAACTTAAAAAGAGATCAAAATTGGGCCAGGAAAAGGCTATGAAAGAACTGAGTGCGCATACGACATTTCTCACCTGCTGAAAAGAAAACCTATCATGTAATAGATCAGATGAAACAATATGATTGCTGATATTATAACTCTTTGCGCTAGTATCAAAAGACTTGTCTTAAGGAGATATGAGAAATTAGTTGATATTCGTGCAAGGAAAATTACATGACATTATTTTTAATTTGTTATTCCTAATTTCAAGCTGAATAACTGCACCTTTCCTTTTGTATATTGAAAAGTGTGGCGCCTTCCGATCCTTGAAAACGCTGCAGTGCTTTGCTATGCTATGTTTGCAGTGTTCATCTTAATAGATGCGTAAACCTTTAAATAAAGTTCGTTCGGTATCAATTCATGATAATACAGCTATTTGAATTATGAGTGCAATAAATTTTCTTTGTGTTTTCTCCTCTTCTTAGCGAGTTTAATTTTATTTATTTAGAGTGACGTTCACAAACGAAGACGGTTCGTTCCAGCTAGATGGATGTGGTGAGGACATTGATTGGATTCCTGGTATTCCAAACAATCCGGAACCCTATTTACAAATATTACATTATTGCAATAGCCAAATGGGCGAAACTATGAGGCTACCACCATTCAAAACTTTTGTGCCAAAGACATATGAAATCGGTACAATTAATCTCGACCCATTAATTGGAGTTTCACCTGCTAAAAACAATACTGAATTGATGAGTTGAGTTTTCAAGGTTTATATGCAGTGCTTATGAAATTTTCTGTGCTATGAAAATAATCATTTCAAATTTAATGGCCAATGTAAATGATATGATACATGTATCCACTTGAAATTCCTTTTTTTTTTAGTGCACTTCTGAAATGGAAGACTGATGGAGAATACCTATTCAGGACTTCAGATTACCATATACATTAGCGGGTTTCTCGAACCCACTTTTAGTATCCTTGCAAATAACAGCACATTTTATTCATCTTGTTTTCCCTCTTTTCGCTTTTTTTTTGTTTTGTTTTGATATCTTCCAGACTGGCAGTTCTCACATTACTTATAAAATCTGTTGAACTGCAGCTCATATTTTACATTACCACTTTTCGTCTTGGGACTTTTTATTTAAGGTTCAAATATCAATAAATTGGTGTGTTGAGTTCACTGTCATTTTTGCAACTTTCTGTTAATAAAAAAAAATCCTTACTTTATCAGAATCAAGTGAAATAGCTGGAAGGCTCAAGATTCAGTTCCGCTCTAATAACGATTTTGTGGGCCTTACTGCTAGTGGCGATATCGTTTTCTGGAAACTTTGTAAACAGGACACAGTAAATATACTTCTACTTACCCGTTGTCAGAGTAACCTCTCAGTCTCAGTCTTGCAATAACAAATAGAGTTGAATGTAGGAATACTTTTTTCCTAGTCGCTTAGTAGTGCTGCATTTCACGTTGTGATCATCTTTATTCTTAATAGTATTTCCTTTTCATTTCCCGTCAGCGTTATATTGCTGTATCGCTCAGTCTTGCAATACTATTCCTATTCACATTTGCTCGCCAACCATAGAGTGATATTCTGTTTCTGCTTCATCACTTACAAATTATTCAACGCAGTACACTTCTCCGTTGAATAACGACAGGAGCAGTTCTTGGTATTTTCTGAAAACATGTCCGCCTAAATAAAAATATGTAAAGTTACGATGTTTTGGTGGAAGTGTTTACTAGCAGAAGGTTCTTGCTACACTGAAAATGAATTCTGAGATGTGAATTATTCTTGTTCGTTGGTGGAATGCTTTTGATAGCACCATCGGATTTCAAACTTGCGCTGCCGCAACATCAGTCATCGCTTAGATTCCAGGAATATGTTCCAGTGCATTTTGGATAGGCTAAGAAATTTATCTTCACTGGAACGTTACGAATATAAGTGCTTGAACTTCAGTTCTCTCACTACATGAGAGTTAATTCAATGGCAGTTTCCTTTAATTTTAGAGATTGCTGCTATTACAAATCTTCTAATTTGAGTGGTCCTAATTCCAAGTTTTATTCCTTACTCATATGCGTTCGACTGGATGTAATAGTTCAAAATTTCATTTCAAAACTCACAAGAAGCTTGGTTCAAAAAACCGAACCTCTTTCACAGTTATTATGGAACCAAGGCGATGAAGCATTGGGCAGAACTTCTGTTCCAATCGAACGATGAAATAAGCTGTGATAAATTGATAATGTTTTATTTGTATGTGCAAACAAGTTAACCAATGATACAATGTGGTAGGTGTACTTCCCGGAAATGTTGTAATCACAGCAACCCTGCTGCACCACGAACATTGTCCAGCAATTATTTATACACTTTTAATTGTGAAGTTCCTTTCTCCACCGTAATTCTTTTATCTTTGAGTGGGCGTATTTGTTTATATTCCCGATAAGCCTACAAAAGCGATCGTTTTTGCAACAGGAGCTCAACGGATGTAACGGTTTACCACTCAAACAGATCCCCAATGTCAAGATTGTGATATAGGAAGAAATTTTATGAAAAATGGGTGATTCGTTTGGATAGGGGTGGCATCTATGAGGCTTCGTTTAATGACAGTTGTTGAATCGAGATTTAGGTAGATGCCATTGAATTTATGAGCAACAGAATATTTTGTTCGTGGAATTCATTTGCGGAACTATTAACGTTAACTTCTGTTTTCTTTTTTTTTTCTAGGAGAAAGTACTGGATAGAATTATTTCAATACTGGTAACAAGCAGATTCAGCCTGACGGTTCGATGTCTGTGTGTATATCCTAATTATGTTAAAATGGGCTATGGTAGGAAGAACATCAAGAGTGGTGCTGTAATCGGGCATTAAAACTTGTTATCGATGTGCTCTCTCATTATGCCTTTGTGTATCACGTCACAGAAAGAATGAGAAATGGTTTTGACTTTGTTTTGCTGCTTTTAAAAAGGACTTTTATATCGATGTTGAGTGGTTTGTTTTGCAAGTTGGCAGGAAGAGAATGATGTGTGTATAGAGGGTTAACTGTGGTTATCAACAAGTATCATTTTATTTGATAGCAGTTCTGATAACTGGAAATAACGTTACGGGCACTTCACCCGCCCTTTTATTTGATGTTTCCTCGAACATACGCAAGGAATATTTGTAGGTTTGCTTACTGTTGATAGCATTTATCGTTATTTGGATTTCTAGAAGCGACCATATTCTCAGCTGTTATCTTCAACAACATCAAAATGCGAATTGGACCATTTCTCGATCTGCAGGTTTGAGCTTGGTCGCATAGCTTTCTTATTGCACATACTCAACTGTTGACGATCGCTTGGTTTCCAACAAGTCCCTTTCACTGTTATTGAGATATTGACTCCTTTTCTGAAGCATTCTTCAACTAATCATTCTGCTCACTTTTTCGTCGATGTCTTTATTGTTGTAAGAGTTGTCTGAATCACTTTTGCTGTCTTCTCAGTACATCAAAATATTGCACTAGAGATCAACAGTTCTTTGTATATTGTGTTAATACAGTGTCTTTAGTCGTTCATTCGATTTTAAATTAAAAAAATGACTTTTTGTTTCATCACGGATTGCTGATTTGCTGTTGTTTCTGTGTGTAACTCACAGACTTCGTTCTTACCCGTATAGTATAATTTGGTTGAAGCTCAGAATGTTCGTAATGATAACGAAAGTTCTACTAGATATGATGTAACTCACAAATCGTTGATTTACTGCTTAATCTCACCCAAGATAGTACACTTCGAAATGCAAACATTACGGACAGTTTCTTTACTCATATTCTTAAGAATATGATGCTCGAATGCAAATAAAGTTCACATCATTTTGTTGATAATAAGAATATTTTTATAGAAGTCCTGCGTCCATTTCCTGAAGTTACTCCTGGACTTGATTTGGTTGATATTCTTTTTCATATCTATTTAAACATTCCGTTTTTCAAACTTCTTGTTTAACCAATACATGTAATGTTCCAACTTTTATCAAATCTTTTAAGGACTATGAAATTGGTGCTACAAACGTAACGTTTCAACAGCATAAAATAGGACGAGAAGAACGTGCACGAGTTCTTGGACGTCATAATGGTTTTCGAGGTTGTACTATATGGTTCACCGGATTGTCTGGTGCTGGCAAAACAACAGTTGCTTTTGCAGTGGAGAAAATTTTGACACAGGTTTGTTGTCCTTTAATTCTGTCGATCTTTCCAAATTTAGGGAGTATCTTGCACTATTTGACTGCTCTTTCAATGTATTTCATTGCAGCTTGGCATTCCTGCTTACGCTTTAGATGGCGACAATGTTCGACATGGGCTCTGCAAAAATCTTGGATTTTCCAAAGAAGAAAGACGAGAAAATATCCGTCGTGTTGCTGAAGTTGCCAAATTATTCGCTGATATGGGCATTGTTGTTCTGGCATCATTCATTAGTCCATATAAATGTGATCGAGATGATGCAAGATCTATTCATAATCAGGTAAACAATCAATGTTACTATAGTACTATTTTGGAAGCTAGACATGATTTATAGTTTCAACAAAAAACTTTCATTTCCAGGATAATCTTGCCTTCTTTGAAGTGTACGTGAATACACCACTGAGAATTTGTGAACTTCGCGATCCTAAAAGTAAGTTTTGCCTCGACTCAGTGGCCAAAACTAAAGTTTTATAGGACTTTTCATTTCTACCAAACTTTTTAGACTTAGATCTCTATGGAAATAAATATGCTCGAACAGTTCATCATATTGTAGATTTGTATAAGAAAGCACGTTCCGGAGAGCTGAAAGGATTTACAGGGATTGATAGTGTCTATGAGGCACCAGAAAAACCGGATCTTATACTTGAATCAGGCGTTGAATCGGAAGCTGAATCCGTTAGGAAAGTACTGGATTTTTTATTGCAAAAGGTAACCAAATCTTTCGTTTTCAACTAAAATAAATTTTTTGTTAACTTCATTTTGTTACCAATTAAAAACGAATTTGTTTCACAAAGATATACCAAAAATCTCCTGCATGTTTTTATGAAAAGTGGGCCCATTACATTTGCAGAATGTTTTGCCTGTAAAAGCTTATCAGCAGATTTCTGGACCACCTATACGAGAACTATACGTTGATGAAGAATCGAAAGACAAATTACTTGAGCGTATGAACTCTCTTCCAAGGGTGCATTTGACCAAAATTGATTTGGAGTGGTTACAGGTTTCATTGTTTTCTTCCCTTAAATGGAGTAATAGAGATTCATCTATACTTTCTGTACCTTGGCATGAAATTCAAATAATATTCAAATAATAATTCAAATAATAAGAGTCATTAACAGTTCTGGTTTATTATGACATTGTTATGCTGTTTGCTGTATTTCGTGTTTTTAGGTGTTGGCTGAAGGCTGGGCATCTCCTTTGCCTGGATTTATGCGTGAACGTCAATACTTGCAATGTTTGCATCATGGTCTCCTTCTGGATTTAAAAAAAAATGTTTTACCCCCGATCTATCTCAGCCAGAAGACACTGAAGAAGATTCACTTTGGTCACTTAATGAACCACTGAATCAATCGATACCAATCGTATTACCGATCAACGATGACACAAAAATCAAGCTCATGGATGGTTGGCATTTTTTTCTGTATGCTGTACTGGTTGGCTTAGTTTGGCGTATATCATATTTGGACTATGTCGAAAACACAGCATCATATTAAAACTTCTTCATGATATGTGAAACTTTTCGAGGACATTCTATCAGTCCCGAAATTGCTCTTGTATACAACAATGACGTTGTTGCTGTTGTGATGGATGGCGAAATATTTGAACATAGGAAAGAGGAACGTATTGCACGCCAGTTCGGTATCATCGATCCTCGGCATCCTGCAATAAAACGGATTTTGGAAAGTGGGGACTGGTTACTTGGTGGTGATGTGCAGGTTTTTTTGATGCATCGTTTGATTCCGTCTCTTCATATCATATATTTTTAAAACCACAGTTTTTCACTTCATATCACTAATAATGGAACTTTGAGCTAATTGTCATCCTGCTAGAAATTAATTCTTTTTTGAAGCAGAAGTTTAAATCTCGAAATTTCTTCATCCAGTAAATTCAGGTGCTAAAACGAATTCAATACAACGATGGTTTGGATTGCTACAGGATGTCACCATTAGAGCTTCGAAATATTTTTGCGAAAGCCAATTGCGATGCAGTTTTTGCTTTTCAATTACGAAATCCTATTCATAATGGCCATGCACTTCTTATGCAAAACACAAGAGAACAGCTGCTGACAAAGTACAAAAATCCCATGTTGTTACTTCATCCATTGGGTGGTTGGACAAAAGTTTGTCTTTTTTATGTTTTTTAGTGATTAGTATAATGCAGATTTTTGATTTTTTTTGAGCGAATACAAATTTCTTTGAGATTTGGGTCTATGCTAAGCTTTCATTTCTTTTTTAATCATAAAACTGAAAAAGAAATTCGTCACTCGAACTTTTATGCGATTACAATTTTCAGGAAGATGATGTGCCGCTAGATGTGCGCATGAGACAGTATGATGCAGTTTTAGCGGAAGGTATTTTAGATCCAGAATGGACCGTCCTTGCTATCTTTCCTTCCCCAATGTTATATGCTGGACCGACTGAGGTGGGGATTTTTACTTTTCTTTTTTTGATTGCAATATATTTGGTTTTATAGTCACCAACTTCAGGTACAGTGGCACGCTAGAGCTCGATTAGCAGCGGGCGTTTCAACTTACATAGTAGGACGAGATCCTGCAGGCATCCAGCACCCCGAAACTGGAAATTATTTGTATGATCCGACACATGGTTCGAAAGTTAGCTTTAATTATTGCAATCGATTATTAATGGTTCACTTATTACTGCTATGTTGTAGGTAACAATATTTGAGGAGCAATAGATGTCTAATTATAAATCATTGATTAATTTTCAAGGTACTATCTATGGCTCCTGGTCTGCTAGATTTGAACATAGTACCATTTCGCATAGCTGCGTATGATAAAACGAAAGGTAAAATGGCATTTTTTGATCCTTCACGAAGTGATGACTTCAAGTTTATAAGTGGAACGAAAATGCGATCATATGCTCGTAATGGCATTGAACCACCAGAGGGTTTCATGGCTCCTAAGGCTTGGAAGGTAATTACATAGTTTGTGAGTACGTTTTTGCCTTTCATGTTGCTGCGTTCTTAAATCTACACGGATTACCTTGTTTTATTTTTGCTTGTCATCATTTCTAGACCATTGCAGATTCTGTCATCTTATTATCAGGAAATGGCAATGAAGCAAACTGAAAATAATCAGTAACGCTGTTGTTGATAACTGGACATTATTTTGGTTGGTAGGTTATATGGTTTTTTGTGGGTGATGTTCATTTATGTTTCATATTGCAGGATGTTTGGAACATTTTTCAAGATGGTTTGTTAAAGAAATATTATCCATTTTGAAAAATAAGGTGGGTCATAATTATATTGCTGTGTCGGTTGCCAGTATGCGAAATGTCTATCACTATCATATTGACAACAGCGTGCAAAATAAGACTCGGTTAGGTGACATCTACTTTTTGAATAGTCATTGCTGCAAGGAGGGAAAAGTTTTTTCTTAGTATGATAAAATGGTTTTTATATTGAGTGTTATTACCATTTGTCGTACAGATCATAGAAATGCGAACAAAAATAAGATGGGAAATCAAAAGAGTAGATATTGTCGTTGGTACCACTTTTTTTTTCGGTTACGTTGTCGCTTTGTCTTTGTAGTTAATAATACATTGAGGATGATGCAATTATTTAAATATCTATAATCTTGAGGTATCCTGCACAGTAATAGATTAATGTCTTTTCATTTATTAAAAATCTAGTAATAAACTGCTTGTACAGTATTTCGATACAGTCTGTATATCCATGTTCTGAACTCTCTCCATATAATTGAATTTTGTTACTTCGTATGTTTTGCTGGTCCCTATTATTGTGCTTTAAGTCCCTAACTTCCCATATACTTGTTTACTGATGCAGTTTGGAAGGATTTTGTAAAAGGATGAAATAACACCACAATACAGTAAAACCAGTTATTTCAAGGATTTCCTGTATAAGTCTTGGTTTTTACAATCCCCTGATGAACTTTTAAAACACGGAACAAGTTGCAAGGTTACTTGAAAAACCGAATAAATTATGATGCAGGCAGCAAAAGAATTAATCTTACACAGTTGATGTATTTGTCAGGCACATCGTTTGTACTGTCGTTACTGGATTGAAGTACTTATTTACTTTGCATTCCATACATCCCTATGTGTCCTTTTAAAAGCTGTTTTGTTTAGTTGAAGTTTCTGTCATCTTTAACTTTCACTTCCAGTTATTTCCCTCCTGTTTTTTCTGTGTATCGTTTATTGCTAGGGTTTTATTTGCTTAAAGGATAATGATCTTCTATAGGATGAACTGTATTCAGATTTTGTTGCTTTCGATTTACGGATATACTTGCGTTTTTAGTATAAAAGAATGTGGATAACTTGATTATGTATCTATTCTGGATCAGGGCTAAAGGTTTCCGTTTGGTTTGAGATTCAAGAGTAGACCGTCTTAAAATACTAAAATCAATATTCACTTACGGGATTGTTTGACTAAATTAAAAACGTTTGGTTTAGTACTCCCGAGTAGTGCATAATTAACTTCATTTTTATCCTAGAGCTGTATTAGGGAGCAAAACTTATCCAGAATACATATGAAAGGTGATCTCTTTATATGCGATCTGATTCCATGGATGATTGATTGGAAATTCTCTGCATTTTGCTGAAGTCAATTGCTCTGCTTTAGTGTTTTTCTTTTTCAGTTGGGGCTAAATTGTATTGCTTACATCATAAACTACTGATATCCTTCATCATCAGAACATAATCTGGTCAGTACTGCAAGTCAATCACTGTATTGTCCTCTGAAAATCCGTTTATCTCATCATCGGTCAACTATTTTAAAATTTCAAGTTCTTTGTAAATCTTTCAAGTTTTTGAACTCTTCAGTGGCAGAGTATTACTTTGTTTTTCTTTGAAATTGTATTTCAAATACGAAGCTGGATGCAGTGAGGGTTCTGGCAATTACTTATGATTTGGTTGCATAGCAAGTACTGATACATTATGATGCAATGGAAAGATACTAGAGTTATAAAAGTAGTGATGACAGTAATGCTTAATGTTTAAGGATTACTCTGCTTTGTTAGCTGCTTTCTAACATAAACTTTCCCAGAAGTGCCAGTAATTGTTTTATTGGATGTCTGACGTTGTCTGATAAGAACAATGTTGATATTGGATGAAGATGTATTAATAAATTTTTTATGATATACAATGTCTCTCTCACTGAATACTGGTCAAACGCATATCGTTTGCTTTCCAGAAGCGGCATTAGCCTGCATCGTTCAACTTTTGAATTGATTACTGACAAGATTCATGTAGATCTTTTTGCCCTAGAGAAATTAAAAAGCTGGGATCTATCTTAATTGCTGGTCAAAAGAAGATGTCATTATGCTTATTTCATATTGGAGTTTTCCTTGTAAGCAAATGATTCTTATCAACCGAAGCTGACATCTAGCTAGAAAACGTTTCAAAATGAATGACTTGTTTTTGACAACTGAGTATTGAGAATTGGTACTTGGAATGAATCTTTTTTTCAACTTCATGTAATTTCCACAGAGTAAATTCACAAGCTATTCTTTACTACTAATAGACTGGTGTTATCAATCTTACATAAGATGCATGTTTTCACGTAGTGTTCATAGAACAAAGTCCTGAAAAAGTGGCTTTTGCAATCCTCTATCTATATGCACTTTAATCAGAAAGATTTTCGCGTGGTGCTATGTTCTGACCATATTTACTCTGATGGTTTATCACATTACACCCAAGTTCAATCTCATTGGTTTCTTTTCTTTCTTTTTCTTTGATAACAGTGTTTGCAAAAATTTTAAGTCTGTAAAGAGTTTTTCATAGTGAAATGTTCTCTGTTTGCTCATTTTTCGTTTCCTATTTTTTGCACTTTAATTACATTCAAATGTAAATAACTTCCCTAAAATTGTTATTGCTTCTATTTGTTTTTATTTTCATGCAAATGTTTTGTTAAAATAAATTTTTCCTCAGTCTCGTTCTGATTCAATCCAATTCAGTTCCATACCAAACTTCAGTATCACCACAGCATTTGCTGATGATATTTCTGCCGCCACTTTTCGAATAACAGATGGGATGCAAAACTTGAAAGTAAGAATACAAACTAATGCAGTTACAGCAAATTGTATGTATGATTTTCCTGAAAATTTGCTAGTTATGACGATCATAACGTCCTAAGACCTCAGGAATCTAAAGCGATCATAATTTTAAAAAAATAGTGCAAAATATCGCTATTGGCTTGTGTACTTCACAATGAAACATGTTCATCAGAAAAAGTGAAGGGAATCCATCGGATATGATGTGAGAAAACTCCAACAAACGATCAGATGGATTTGGAAGTTTTCATCTCAATGATAAATTCTGGCCAGCTGTTATTTTTTCTCGCAAAGCTGACAGTTTACTTTATTATTTCCTATCATTTTGTTTTGATTTTTATGACGTTAAGTTACATGCTGATACCGTGATACCGTGTCTCCCTGAAAATAAGGGTCTTACATTATTCCTCTCCCCTTCCTCCTCTCCTCAAAAAAAAAAAACTACGGCTTATTTTCAGGGAATGTCTTACTTTGGGTAACTTATTTTCAGGGAATGTCTTACTTTGGGTAACACGGTTGTACTCCACAGAACAGCTTTTGTTTTCACCACGCAGAGAGACCAACCGTTGAGAAGCTCAGGGAGACAAGGCTGGAGGCTTGGCGCGGCTAGCAGGCACTCCCTACGGCCGCACGGAGCGACGAAGAGACCAGAGTAATGGTCGACATAGGCTGGGGATGGGCCCGAGGCCTTATCCAGTGCTTGGCGCGGCTACGGGGAGCGCGGGAGCGCAGGGACTGGTGCTGTATGTGGCTGCGGCAAGGCTGAACTAGGTCTTATTTTCAGGAGAGAGCTTCTATTAACCCCTTCCCTGAAAATGTCACTAGGGCCTGTTTTCAGAAGGATGATTTGTTTTCGGAGAAACACGGTAATACACTTTCCCATAGATTTATATTCGAGTATTTCATTTCTTCAATACCTTCAATTTACGTTAAACTCTGGAATAGCGCGTTATCAGATTAAAGTTATCTCTGTTCCTTCTCAGTTATTGCAGTTTGGAAATGGCGCATATTTAGCGTTATAAAGAAAGCATTAAATGAACAGATAAGTTCACAGCATTAATCCTTCAAGTAAATTTTTTAAAGACTCAGTTTTGCTATAACATAAGAGCAGAAAATGATGCATTAAAATTGTTCGGGCATTGATGGTGCAGCTTTTTGTACTCATTGAATTACTCATCGAGCTAATTGTATTATCGTATCGAGCTAATTCAAGCTTGCTTCACAGAACCATTCGATTATTTTTGTTCTATTATTTTCCTTTTTTGGGAATGACCGATTCTGCAATTTTCTTGTTCTGTAAAAGCTATTTTTAATACAGCACGAAATTACTATACTTTATTCGATTAACAAAATTCTTAATCGCAGTTGGCTTTTAATTCCGTTAAAGAAGTAATACCACTTGAATTTACGATCAGACATTGTCGTTCAAAAAAAGTTGAGGCATTAGGAGGATTTCGATCTATTTTCTAACCGATTTTGTTTGTCAAGGTATACTCTTATACGGTTGTTGGTATTTATTTTGGCTCGCTTCAAATTTTTTGAAATTTAGGGAGCCTTTAAATGGAATTTTATATGTTGATTTCTGCCATTATTGATCAAATACGAAGAAATTACTAGTAGTATAGCCAAAGGGTGATTCAGTCAGAAAGTTGAATGATCAGTATCTTAACCCTTTTTAAGGGCCGACATAAAAGAAATGCGCTGCGCTCAAACTATTTGAATAAAATTGGGGACGAAACACATTTTTAACTGGGAGGGAAGGCTTCTTTAAAATTATGATCAGTGGGATAAATTTTTAACTTTGATAATTCTAATATCTAGGTAAGCTCGACAACAAATTTGGTCAGCGAGGAAAAAACTCAAGTGACGTAATTACTGTATGTCGGATGTAAGGTCATTTTGATTCACAAGGATCTTATTACTACATTCTTTCCTTTTCTTTTCATTTAAGAAGTTTAACATGAAGCTTTAATGCAGTTTTCATTTCTCGGGTGGCTGTTTCGCAGTTTCAGCCGAGACTGTGGTAACGTAAAGTCCGATGTTCTTATCGGGATAACGGTTGAAATACCAATGAGTTTATTCAATTGCACCGCTGCAAAGGTTTCCTGAAATTATCGAGCAAGTGAGGACTAACGAATGGAGCACTTAGGCTTTATTTTACATGTGAATATTTTGCTTTTTACAGTATAACTCATGCATTATTGTTGCTCTGTTTTTCATTTGATACAGGCGAAATATCGGAGTGACACAACATTTAGTGTGATTAGTTTGGAAATAGTCGGCTCATCTTTTGCTACTGAACTGAAACTTTTCCAAAAGGTTCTATTATCTAGAATACGACCATCAAAGTTAACACGTTTTTCATCCAAAGATTCCACATTAAAAAAATATTTCAAAGGGTTTAATGAAACATCTTTATAAATTCGTTATTCTACGTTTCGTCTCTCAAAAGAATCAAGATTTGATTACAATCGTCAGGCGATACTTCTAATCCGGTTTTATAATTCTAAACTGTTCATGACAGAAATATAATAAACGGGAGTGCACTCTCCAAACGAAGAAGGGTGCTGTGTTAAAATTGATACAAACAGGCGGTTACTCTTTGTATCGATGTATGCTTATAGTAATCACGCTGCTTCAATAATTTTAGCTTATTACTTTAATTAGATTTTCGTTAGATTATTCAGTGAGTTTTTCCAGATTTTTTTTGTCGAAATGAACTTACTAAAAATTTGAAACAAATAATTTTCCAATAAGCTGTATCTTAGCGATAACCGTCGCGATATATCCGAGTTTTTTCCAGCAATTTTCCACAGAAAAATTTTCCGTGTAAATTTTGAAATTTTGAATAAATATGATGATGACATAAAATTTTAGGAAAAGGT